CCCAAACTACCTTATATTTAGCAACTTTGTATATATTTATATTTATCATCTTGATATTTATGCTGTATACATACATACATACACAACACACACACACAACACACACACACACACACACACACACATTCTTGATATCTCTACCTTTAGAATATAAGCTCAAGTCCAGTAAGGATTGTCTCATTCTTTGTATCCTCAGCACCTATCACAGTGCCTGGAACATATTAGGCACTTAGTAAATACTTGCTGACTGACTGATTGAATAAAGTGGGTGCCCATCAATTGGGGAATAGCTAAGAAAGATGTAGTATACGAATATGTAACAAAGGACTGTTGAGCAGGCATCAGCATTCTAGGCTAATGCAATACCCCATGTGGAGAGGTATGATTAATATAAAATGGAAGAATCTTGCTCCTTGAGTTGGATTAGGCATTCTGTAACTGATTCTGGTCTGCTAATCAATGATGAAGAGATGGACAACTGAGTGGCTCCTGGACAGAACTGGGGAGCATTCCACAGGTGCTCATCAGTTAGTGCCAGTCACTTGGTCTGACTCCTTCCTGCACAGCTGCATTCTGGTAAGAGGCAATATTGTAAGAGGAGAGAGTTTGGGGCTCAGTTCTTTGCCTCCGTTTTTTCCTGGTTAAGGTGAAGGAGAATGGAGATAGCTATGGACTGGTAAACTTTGAAAGGTCAGAGAGAAAGCCATCAGGAGGCAAAGGAGCAGAGTGGATGACGGGTTTAGAAGCCATCCAGTCCAGTACCAAGGACCTCAGGAACGACCATCAGGATCCAGCAGTAGCTAACAGATGGACTCATCCTGCTACTATGGGGCATGTGAACATGAGCTTTGTAGGACCAACATCATGTAGACACTGCATTAAGCCTGAACCCTACCTCCTCAGAGTCTATAAGTGTGCCCAAAGGTATTGAAAGGAAATGTTTGTACACCTGTTCTTGCAAAGTGGCAAATACTCTTTTATAAAAGTTAATCAATATGAATTAGCTAAATGGAACTGGGAAATTAAACAGTGGCAGTTAACAGTGAGTGTTGGGGGCATGCCAGAATGGGGGCTCAAGCCAATCGAGTCAGAAAAGAACACGTGGACATCTAGCCAACCTTGGTCACACAGAGTAGTCCAGAACCATTCTCTGTAAATGAAATTCTTTTGCTCAATAAACAATGAAGAATTCAGAGAAACACAGAAAGGTTTATGTGAAACTGATGCAGAATGAAATAAGTAGAAACAAAAGAATGCTATATGCAGTGACCACAGTAATATAAATGAAAAGATCACTGAAAGAAAGCCAAACTGAACAAATGGAAAACCAATGATGACCACTGAATCTAGATAATGAAAGATATTTACCTCTCATAACTGAAAAGGAACTAATGGATCAAAATGTTATATATGTTGTCATATATGATTACTCAATGAGGTGCTTTTTACTTCACTGCCTTTCTCTGTTATAAGGAAAAGTTCAACGTGAAGGTGAGCGAAGGAGAAGAATAAGAGTTTCTTTTTCCTCACTGAAATGACTGCTATATCCCCAATTGATAAATGGTCAAAGGATATGAAAAGGCAGTTTTCAGATGAAGAAATTAAAGCTATTTATAGTCATATCAAAAAATGCTCTAAATCACTGTTGACTAGAGAAATGCAAATCAAAACAACTCTGAGGTACCACATCACACCTATCAGATTGGCCAACATGACATAAAAGGAAAATGATAAATGCTGGTGAAGATGTAGGAAAATTGGGACACTAATGCGTTGCTGGTGGAATTATGAACTGATCTAACCATTCTGGAGAACAATTTGTAACTATGCCCAAAGGGCTATAAAACTGTGCATACCCTTTAATCCAGCAATATCACTACGAGGTCCATATCCCAAAGAGATCATAAAAAAGGGAAAAGGACCCACATGTACAAAAATATTTATAGAAGCTCTTTTTGTTGTGGCAAAAAATTGGAAATTGAGGGGATGCCCATCAATTGGGGAATGGCTAAACAAGTTGTGGTATATGAATGTAATGGAATACTACTTTTTCCACTTACATGTAAAGATAGTTTTCCACATTCACTTTTATAAGATTTTGAGTTCCAAATTTTTTTCTCCCTCCCTCCCCTTCCTCCTCCCCAAGATGGCAAGCAATCTGACATAAGCTACACATGTGCAATTATATTAAACATATTTTCACATTAGTCATGTTGTGAAAGAAGAATCATAACAAAAGAGAAAACACACTAGAAAGAAAAAAACTCATTGCCTAGCCAAAAGAAGAGAGAGAAAATAATATGCTTCAATCAGCACTCAGACTCCATAGTTCTTTCTCTGGATGTGGGGAGCATTTTCCATCCTGAGTCTTTTGGAATTGTCTTAGATCATTGTATTGCTGAGAAGAGCTAAGTCTATCAAAGTCAGTCATTGCACAATGTTGCTGTTATTGTGTATGTAATGGAATACCATTGTGTTATAAGAAATGGCGAGCAGGCAGATTTCAGAAAAACCTGGAAAGACTGACATGAACTGATGCAGAGTGAAGTGAGCAGAACCAGGAGAATATACAGTAATAGCAACATTATGTAATGATCAACTACGAACAACTTAGCTCTTCTCAGCAATATAATGATCAAAGACATCCAAAAGACTCATGTTGGAAAATGCTCCCCACATCCAGAGAAAGAACTATGGAGTCTGAATGCAGATCGAAACATACTATTTTCACATTTTGTTTTTGCTTTTTTTTGTTTTTTCCTTCTTGTGGTTTTTCCCTTTTGTTCTGATTCTTCTTTCACAATATACCTAATGTGGAAATATGTTTAACATGATTGTGCTTGTATAACCTACAATAGCTTGCTGGCTGTCTTAGGGAGGGGAAAAGGAGAAAAATTTGGAACTCAAAATCTTATAAAAATGAATGCTGAATATAATCTTGACATGTAATTTGAAAAAATAAAATACTACTAAGCAGAAGAAAAGAAATGACTGATATAATGATAAAAGGGCATAAATAAAACTTTTTTTTAAATGACAGGTCATATAAAACTAACTTAATTTCCTTTTCTGGCAGGATTACCAGATTAGTAGATAAGAGGAATGCTGTAGGCATAGTTTACTCAGGTTTTAGAGTAACTAAATTTAATTCAGTCTCTTATGGTATTCTTGTGGGCAAGCTGGTGAGATATAGACTATATTATTATATATTTAGGTAGATTTGGAACTGAATTTGGAATATAACTCAAAGAGCAGTAATCAGTATATCAGTAATCTAACCTTGGCCCAACTCTGCTAAACACTTTTACCAATGAATTAAGTGAAGGCATGGAAGGCATGCTTATCAAAGCTGTGAATGGCACAAAATTAGGGAGGTTTCCTAACAAATTGTATGATGCAATCCAGATCCAAAAGGATGCTGCTAGGCTAAAACAATGGACTGAATTAACAAGTGAAACTTACTTAATAACAACAAAGTCCTTCATTTGTTTAAAGCAGGAAGCAATGGTTAGACAAGAATTTATGGAGAAAACATGTGGGATTTTTTATGGACTGCACGATCACTATGTTAACAATATAATTTGGCAGCCAAAAGAGGTAACACGGTCTTAGGTTAAATCTAGAGAGAAGTGACCCATAATGAGAGAGTTCCATGGTACTCTACTCCAGTCGCATCCCATCTGAAGCATTCTGTTCAGGACTGGGCAGCACATTTTAAAAGAGCATTGACAAAAAAGAACACAATCATTGGAGGGTGAACAGGATAGGACTGAAAAACATATGGGATAAGCCCTGGTTAAAGGACTAGGGGATGTACAGTCTGGATAAAAGAATCCTTGGACTTAGATATGATAGTTATTTTCAAGTTTCTGAAGAGCAATTATGAGGAAAAAGGGATTCAGTTTTTCTGCTCGGCCCCAGAAAGCAGAACAAGAAACATTTAGTACAAACTGAAATGAGGAAGATTGTAGTTCAAAGTAGGGAATACCAGTCAGATCTATCCAAAATGCCTGAAGTATCAGTGAGTTTTCTATCATTGGATGTCTTCAAATGGAAACTGGATGGCTGTTTGCTATGGATGTTAAAGAGAATATTCCCTGTTGAGCTGTGGTTACTACAGAGCCCCTGAAGTGCCCTCCAACTTAGAGATTTTGTGAAGCCTGGATAAAGGGAACTATAAAAACACTTCCAACTCTAAGACTCAGATTCCATTATTTTCCTCTATGCACTCTATAGTCTTTCACATGTAATGAAAACCATGTCTTGCTTTTCTTGAACGTCAGTTTCACAAATATGTATTTTAAAATCACAATCATATCATCTAAAACAATGATGCATGCAGATGTACTTTGCGAGATTCTTTAGTAAAGAGAAAAGACACACATTGTCTTCACCATTTAGTGTTCCTAACTCTTACCACATACTTGTCTACAATGACTAACAGATGCTTACTTAATTCTTTATACTTAATTCTATGTAAAACACAGAATTCTCAGATCAATTCGCTTATAATTGTCTCACTTTAAAAATTTCTATACCTTAATCTGAAATGACATACTTCTGTCCTTAGAACTTTTACAATTCTTAGTGTCCCTTAAGTATTATGTAAAATGGCTATCAACATTATCTCTCAGTGCTTCCACTAACTCCTTCAGAATGACAAATAACTCTTTTCAGAGAAGAGAGAAAAACATAAATTATTCATCAAGGTAGGTACACTAAAACAAAGGCAAAAACAAACCAAAATATTCTTATTTCGAACAGTACAATGTTTTGGTCAATTTTCTCTTTCTTAAAATATGTGTATATATGCATATGTGTATACATTTATACACATACGTATATGTGTGCATGCATATATGTCTGTGCAGATACCTAAGTATACACATACACATATATATATATATATATATGTATTATGTGTGTATATATACATATATAAATAAAAATCATCAGTATTCATCAAAGTTGCTCCCAAACAATGGTAGATTTATACTTACCAAAATGCAACTGTACTCTGATTTGTCCGGTAATGAGCAATCCTGCTAACGAATTGTACCAGTTAGTAGCATATAGATCTGGGGAAGGAGAGAAAACAGAGTAAGAAATAAATTTGTTGGGCTAAGTCTTTCAAATTTATATACAAATGTTCAAACTTCACGGAAAAGAGATACTTGTCTACTATATTTATTGGCTCTGGGAAGCTTTTCTTAATGGGCATATTGATGTCAATTTTTAATCCCTTTTTCACTTTGTAACAAAGCTCCAAGATGTGATATATTGACTGGCATATATTCAACTGTGTGGGCTAGAACTGAAGTATATTCAGAACTCCCAGTATATTCTTAATGTGATAAAAATGATACTTGTTAGGAAGGAAGGATACACTAAATGCTAGGGAGGACAGATGCAAGTTACTCTTCAAGGCTTTCTGTGGTTATCAAATAAGCACTGCACACAAAAGAAACATAACAATCTACAATGCTTCTAATATGTAAGGGCTAATTGTTTTATTCTTGACTGGGGTTAAAAAAAAGTATACATTTAGGAACATTTTTAAAAGCTGCTGATTAAGAGTCAAGACTGCCTAGGTTGCAAGTCTAGAAGGGAAAAAGTTCTTTTTGCCTAAAGCAACTAGAAGCGAAATAAGAAATGAGAGAAGATGAATACTTGGAAATCAGTTAGTAGGAGGGTGTTAAGGTTCATTTCACTCTATTTTCAGCAAGTTTCATTTTAGGGAACAACAACATCTCCAGGAAAAAGTTTTCTTATAGGTGATGAGAAATATGGGCTCTAGACGTCTTCTACACATAGTCAATAAATAAAGACATGAAAAGAAAATAGGAAAAGTCCTGAGCTTCTCAAAACAAGAATGCAGGAAGAAATACCAAGTGCCTACAATGAAGACTTGGGGGGCAGGTCGCAGAGAAGAAAAGAAATACTCCCCTGAGAAGCACTTTAAGGGATACAAAGGGGGAGGGGGATAAAAGAAGTCACCAAGAAAAGAGTAATCTAAGAAATGGGAAGAGAACGAGGAGAGTAAATTGAAAATCTCTGAAACCAAGATCAGAAAAAAAAAATCTCAAAGGAAAAGGAGATTGTCAACACTTTACAAAGCAGCAGGCAGCTCAAGAAGGTTAAAAATGATGGAGAGTATCTAGATTTGGCCCAAAGGAACTCCTCGGTAAACATAATAGAAACTATCATGAGGATATAAATCAGACTGTAAAAGGTCAAATTGGGAACTGATGGAAAAGAAATGGTGGCAATGAATACAGAGAGCACGATAGTTTGAGCTTAGAAGGAAGGAAAAAGAGAGAAACAAGATGAGGAGCTAAAACAGTCAGGGAGGTCAAGGAACCACTATGATAAACACAGAGGGAGCTTTCAGTTCTGAACGCTCACTTTCAACTTCAGGCTCCATAAATATTATTGATCATTTGTTTTGGGATTCCAGGAGGAGGTAACTCCCTCTACCAATGCAGGTCAGCACCGTCTCTGCAGGTTTAGAGAGCTGCCTAGGCATTGAAACACAGAGCTACTGTGTGTAAGCAGAAGGTGTCGAGTACATCTTCCTGACTCTGAAGCCAGCTCCCCCATATCCTCTGCCTCCCATTTTAGTAGGCAATGACTTTCTTCTCCAATTATATAGCATAGGGATGTGGCAATTCAACCTGTCAATTTTGCCTAACAAAATAAATCTGTACCAAAGACACTGGGCTAAAAGAAATGTTTAACAACGAAAATCCATAAACACTTGCAAGAGAGAGAGAAAAATTTCCAGGTTTGGTGATTCAGATTTTTCTTTTCAAAAACATAACACAACTAGAACTTGTTGGAACCATATAATCAGACACACTTTGGGGCAATGAAACAAAACTGTTATATGACTAAGGAGTACATGCTGGAAGAAAATATAAACCACAGAATTGCTCTAATACACTTTTTGATAAATAAGCAAATATTGGCCATGGATACCTTCCATCTCTATTAACAGATCCTGAGTCAGTGTCAAGAGATCCCCTGTCTTCTTCCCCAAAATGAATGTGAGGGAAGAAAAACACCAAACTGCCTCGTAAACTCTTGTTTAAATCGCTAAAACAATATTGAAAAGTTAACAGCAAGGGACATCCTTAGAGGACCACTTTAAAATAAGAGCACTACAGTGAAAGTCAGAAAACTTGACTTTCAGTTCATCTCTTGCTACAAACAAGCTACATGACCTTCAGCAAAGCACTTTCTTCAATTCAAGTACTGACTACATAGCTGTTATATGTAAGGCACTGTGGAGTATTGAGGGTCGGCCTTAAGAGTCCAATATGGGTTTAAGATCCAGGACAGAGTTTGACCTTTGCCCAGGCTTTTACCCACAGGGCTCGATAATTAAGAAGCAAGGCTCTCCAAATCCCTCCCTGCTAGGAGGCTCCTCAGACATTCCTTCTCACTCTTTGAACCTTAGATTTACATATTCACTCCTCCATACGGGCACCAGAAAAAAGCCTTGGAATTTACAACCCTGTCTAGGAACTCTGATAAGGAGGAAATGTATGTTATCACATCCTTAGCAGATGTTTCGGGGAGTGATTCCTGGGGAGGACTCTTTGAAGTTAGGATGGATTTTCTCTACATATCCTGTACCCTCAGAAAAATAAACTGAGTTAGTTCTGCTGCTCCACCTGGCCCACTTTATTTCACACCTTTCCCTTCGGTGTACTATCTGGTTGCGGGCAACAGTGGGGCACAGAGAGATCAGTTAAGTTAGACTCATTGTCATTAACTAGCTTATAGTCTCTAGATGGTGAAGTGGATAGAGTGCTGAACTTGGAGTCAGGAGGACCTGAGCTCAAATCTGGTCTCAGATACTTACTAGTTGTGTTACCCTGGGCAAGTCACTTAATCCTATTTGCCTCAGTTTCTTCATCTGTAAAATGAGCTGGAGAAGGAAATAGCAAACCACTCTAGTATCTTTGCCAAAAAACCTCTAAAAGGGGGTCATGAAGAGTCAGACAAGACTAAAACAACTAAACGAAAGCAAAAGCCTACGGTCTAAGAGGGGAGAAGATTCATGTACACAAATACTTAATGTGACAAATAACATGAGGGATAACAGAATCACAGAATCTGGAATTGAAAGGGACTTTAGAGGCCCCCTGGTCCAGTCAATGTCTAAACAAGAATCTTCCTTACAACACACTTGACAAGTGATCGGATCATCCACCTTAGAATCCACTACACACCACCCTTTTTGTGTGCTGTTCTCTTTGACAAGCAGTGTTCCCTTAAAGCAAGTCTAAATCTGCAGCTCTTTGCAATTTCTACCCATTACTCCTCTGTGGTAAACTGGAAGTCTTTACCTCTCTTCCACATGACAGTTCTTCAAATACTTGGTCAGCTATCATGTCCCCTTTAAATCTTCTCTTCTACAGGGTAAATATCCAACTGATCCTTATATAGCACAGACTCAAGCCTCATCACCAGTCTGGGTTACCCTCCTCTGGACACTCAAGATTATCAATATCTTTCCTAAAATGTGGTGTCCAGGATTATTTTTAACCCAAGTGTAAGACATGTGTTTATCCCTTCTGAAGTTCATGTTATTAGATTTGGTTCAATGATATACCCTGTGGAGGTATTTTTTAATCCTGATTCTAGCATCCAGTGTGTTAACTATCCTCTTCTAGTTATGTGCCAATTTAGATTTAATAAGTATGCCACTTCTACCTTTATACAAGTCATTCATAAAAAAAAAAATGTTAACTAGCACAGGGCTCTACCTGCCGAAACAAACACAGGAACTATAGCAACACAGTTACAAAACACTTTTCACACAAATAAAATCAGATGTAAATAACTGGAAAAATATCAGTTGCCCACGGGTAGGCTGAGCTAATACAATAAAAGTGGTAATTCTACCTCAATTAATTCATTCAGTGCCATATCAATCAAACTACCAAAAATTATTTTATACAGCTAGAAAAAATAATAACAAAATTAATCTGGAAGAACAAAAGGTCCAGAACATCAAGAGAATTAACAAAAAGAAATGCAAGGGAAGGTGGCCTAGTCATACCAGATCTTAAATTGTATTATAAAGCAGCAATCATCAAAACTACTTGGTACTGGCTAAGAAACAGAGTGGTGGATCAGTGGAATAAGTTAGGCACATTAGACACAGCAGTCAATGACTATACTAATCTAGTATTTGATAAGTCCAAAGACTCCAGCTTCTGGGATAAGAACTCACTATTTAACAAAAGCTGCAAGGAAAACTGGAAAAATGTATGGCAGAAACTGGGAATAAACCAACATCTTACATCCTATACAAAGATAAAGTCAAAATGGGTACAGGATTTAGATATGAAGACTGATATTATAAGCAAACTAGAAGAGCAAGGAATAATTTACCTTTCAGATCTATGGATTTATGACCAAACAAGAGATAGAGAACATTATAAAATGCAAAATGGATAATTTTGATTACATTAAATTGGAATGAATTTTGCACAAACAAAGCCAATGCATCCAAGATTAGGAGGGAAGTAGAAAACTGGGAAAGAATTTTTACAACCACTAATAAAGGCCTTATTTCTAAAATATATAGAGAACTGAGTCAAATTTATAAGAATACAAGTCATTCCCCAATTGATAAATGGTCAAAGGATATGAACAGGCAGTTTTCAGATGAAGAAACTAAAGCTATATACAGTCATATGAAAAAATGTTCTAAATCACTATTGATTAAAGAAATGCAAATCAAAACAACTCTGAGGTACCACATCACACCTATAAGATTGGCTAACATGACAAAACAGGAAAATGATAAATGCTGGAGAAGATGTGGGAAAATTGGAACACTAATGCATTGTTTGGTGGAGTTGTGAACTGATCCAACCACTCTGGAGAGCAATTTGGAACTATGCCCAAAGGACTATAAAAATGTACATACCTTTTGACCCAGCAATAGCACTTCTAGGGCTATATCCCAAAGAAATCATACAAATGGGAAAAGGACCCACATGTACAAAAATATTTACAGCAGCTCTTTTCATGGTGGCAAAGAATTGGAAATTGTGGGGAT